GATATTTTTTCAATGATGATATTAAGAGGATTATGCTAAAACAAATTAGTCTTTAATTGGTTTACAGAGAAAATATGAATATGCTAGGAATTCATCTAGGCAAATAGAACAGTGTATATTTTATGAATAAGTACTGTAATCATCCGCCTGTTAGTTGGAAATAAAAACAAACAACATTTGCATAATAAAACTGTTTACACATCTTAATGAAAGTGTGTCATTATCTCCTCCTGGCTTTTATACAACAGTCAGCGTACATCTTACGTCCAATACATTGAGTTTTACACCAAGTATTCCTTAAACGGTTTTGACATTTTAAGTAATCCATATTAGCATGTGGACTCATTAAAAGAATCCTTGAGTGCAGTTAATAGTATTTTAGAGAGGTCAAAATTATTAAGATCTACCAGAAAGAAACAATGCAGAACTAATCACTCTATAGATTCTGAAAATATGAGAAACTAGCCTCACAGTTCTGCAAATCATTTCTACTGGAAGCTAAAGGATTAGACTGACACGTATTTCCCAAGCTACGTCTGTCATAACAAGTCTAAAAAAGCAACCAGCCCACTGAGCAAGAACTGGCACTTTGGGAAATGGCTTAAATAGCACTGAGCTCTCAACTAGCACTTTTATGCTTATTACATATTTGAATAGACTCAAATCAAAGGCGTATTTCTTGTCACCTTCACGTTTGACTTAGAGATAAAAATTAAAAAAAAGAAAGAAAAAACAAAAATATATTGAGAATTCCTCAGTATACTGGAGATACCTGGATATTAGTGCTATGGACAGTAAAAGGACAGGAGTGCAGAGCCAGCAGTAGTACTTTTTCAACCCTGAGTCACAAAGACAAATGAAAGGAAGGGAGCCTACAGGGGCACTGCCTTTGCAGGAGTCTCATTCTTCTATCACAGAATCTCATACTTAGGGCCTTTACATTCTTCTGATTGAAATTTCAACCTCATCTAGATTTTGTAGAACATTTTACTGTTAGTCTGCCTAATGCTCCTTATGCAAACACATCTACTCACTCAAGGCATTACTTCACCTGTGCCTAAAGGTATGATTTAGGAGACCTTCCACAAATAACAGTCTAACATTGGAATGGACCATGTATTTTGTTATATGTTAAGCTGCAGTTGTTTTCAGCCTTTTTTTAAAAACAAAACAAACCCAAGCATTTGGGCCCTCAATATTCTCCAGTGGAAGCACTCATAAACTACAGATTTAGCAGATAAGAAACAGTGCATACACCCTTTAGAGATAATCCATAGAAAGCAGAAAACCAATGTTGTAATGTAACCTGCTTCCTTTCATGGAACCTGCATAAAAGCTGGGAAACCAACTGGAAAAAGGGAAAGGAAGAAGCTTGTCTCAGCCTACAGAACGGCTGCTGGATTCCTCTACAGGTTTACTACAATTGCTGTTATATCTATGAATCATAGAATGGTTTGGGTTGGAGGGGACCTTAAATATCATGTAGTTCCCCCCCCCTGCCATGGGTAGGGACACCTTCCACTAGAGGAGGTTGCTCAAAGCTGCATCCAACCTGGCCTTGAACGCTTCCACGGATGGGGCATCCACAACCTCTCTGGGCAACTCTGACATTGCAGGGACTTCAAGCAGATATGTCTATTAGCAGACAATAAATTGATTACTTTTGAACTGAACAGCACAACAATTTGACTTCTTACTAGCTCCTACATGACCTGGAAGATATTGTAGAATAGAATAGTTCAGTTGGAAAGGACCTACAATGATCATCTAGTCCAACTGCCTGACCGCTTCAGGGCTGACCAAATACTTGGTTAATACTTTGTAAATACTTGATCAAAGACTGTAGATATACAAACCCAGTAAGTCCCAAGTGCAGAGTACAAAACACCTTTCCTCCAGTCACAGTTTCCCTTTCCCATACCAGAGCACCTGCAAGTCAAGCATTACAATAGAGCGAGCAGTCTCTGATTCTGCCCCAGGACTTCATTTCCCAGATCAGACTCCTGAGGATCTGTGACCTGACAGCCAGCTGCATCTACCCTTGGATGGCATGCGGGCTGATGGGATGGGGAAGCAGATGGTCTCAGGAATGAAAGTGTGGCAGCAGTGCTGCACTAGGGCTACAGGAATGTATTAGCAGGAAGTAGCATTTTAAAGACTAACCTGAAAGTTTCCAGGATTAACATAGTGCTCACAGGTACATCCCTGTCAAATGATACAGCTCATTATTTATGTCTCAGCCCATGCTCTTTGCTGCCCTGTGACCAGACACTCAGCTCTGCCACATGGCTTGACACTCACATCTGCTATCGCAGCTCTGATGTGGCACAGGAGTTTTGGATGAGCAGCCATGTGACAGCCTCACAGCAAAAAGAGACCTATTGCTGATGAGATGCTCATCAAGACATATCCAGCTACTGGTACTTTACTTTTTCAGTTTTTTAATAGCAGGCGTGTAGAAAGAGGAAAGTCACTGGAAAAACTCATTTATTCTCTGATTTTAGAGCAACTTCATCAAAACTCAATGCAACAGAGCCATCGATTGAGTCACATTCAGAGAACCTAGGTTACCTTGAAGCACTCTATGGCTCCAATTCAACAAGCCCCATCCCTAAAAACCAAAAAAAACAGTTACACTGAACATCAAAGTAGAGACTCTATTGCTCTATCTCAAAACTTCAGAAACAGCATTAACCCAATGCACCAAACTAACAGAAAGAAAAAGAAAAAAAGAATTTTTTGTTTAAAACTCTCACAAATCATAGTATGTAATAAACTATACTCCATAACACTAGTGATTTTGGGGGAAAAAAAAAAGTACCATTTCATTCATAGAAATCCATTTCCTTCACTGGTCTACATTCGTAACTTTACAGGCAGAAATATGACTTTGTTACATGATTAATTTTTATATTTCATTTACAGAAAAAAACAAAAATTACACCAAACATCTATGTTCAAACTGTCATGGATGAGAAACAAATTAAATAGAAGAGAATCTAATTAAACTCTGAATCTTGGGAAGGAAGTTCAGCTACTGCTAAAAGCATACAGGTTGCTTTGGTGAAGAAATATTACCTTCACGACTTCTTTCAATGAAAAGAACAAGCAAAGGCAATGCCCACATCCTGCACAACTGAGTAAAGACCCATCCCGTGTAAACACTAAGTCCAGGAGAATTATCCAAGGACAATCAGAACAGAATTCTGTCTGAAGCCTGAAAAATGTTGCCTCTTTTTAATTATGTTAATGATTAGACTTAATGCTGTTAAAGCAATGAGATTCCCAGGGGCTGAATTCACCATTTAATAAAATAAAATAAAGTTTTTTAAAAAAAAAAAAAAAAGCAGAACACAGGCACCTGCAATGTGGTTTTTCCATGCCCTGACCTCCCAATGCACATCATTTGCCCGAGAGACTGGTGACTGGGAGAGGAAGCACAGTTAAATATCATTAAATTCTATTATTAGCTTTTTAGCAAGGCTAATTACAAGACAGCCAACCCAAAATGTCGTGGTGATTTCCCTGATGTAATCATCTAGCACCCAGGAAATGAATGGAAACTACCAATCTATTTTGCTGACACATATTAGGAAAAAGAGATGCTCATCATGAATATCTGACATAATCTTTATAAATTCCTGAGCCAAACAAGAGAAATAGAATTAAAAGCAAAACAAACATCACATGCAAACAACGGAAAAACATCATCAACAAAAAAAAATCCAACACTTGAAAATCTCAACGGCATTTGGGGTTCAAAAGAGCAAACAAACAGGTAAATAAAATGGTCACCTACTTGATGTTAAAATAAAACAGAAAATTAAACCAAAAGGCTACATAACATGTTTTGCCAAATGATGTAGCTCAACCCCTAGAAAAAAAAAGAACAAAGTCTCAAGTACTAAGGCTGAGCCTGACCATGAGGTTTTATGTCAGATACCATCTGAGACCTCATGGTGCTACAATGCAGAAGGGAATCATGTCTGGGACTACCATATGAAGTCCCTACCACTACCGTGATGAAGCTTTCTCTTCTCTGTTTTTTATATTTTCCTGAAAAGGAATTAATCTGTGAAACTAGTAATTACTATCTTAAGCGGCCTCTTCTTACTGTAATTTTTTTTTATTCTAATGCTTACAGCTGATTAAAATAAACTCTTTACAAGGAGCTTCTGTATGTGTAACCGTGCATGCACCTGGTGAGTCTATATATAATCCATCCTCGATGGTTAAATACTCCCATCTCATTCCCTCTCAGTCTTTGCTCCACGGTATGGTCAGGGATTATTAAATGATGCTAATGCCCTTGTTATCTGACAACACAAGTAGTACATTCAACAACTTGAGGGGAAGACATCTCACTGCTTTTCCCTCGTAGCTGTTTTCCCCAAACCCTGAAGAAAATCAATTAAATCTCATTTTAGATACACATATTTAAACCTGATTGACAGAAGATCATATTCAATTAGAGAGACACAGGTTTAGTTTGCACACACATCAGTAACCGTGACATATGGAGACAACTAAATCAAGCAGAACTGCTCCCTGTTCCTTGCACATACCAGTTTACTTTCAAAAAAAAAACAACAAAACAACCCCAAAACCTGGGGGGGGGGGGGTGTTCTAATTAGTACTGTGCGAAATATTAGTAAGTGGTTGCTAAGAAGCGGGTTTCCCTCAGGTAGCCCGTCTACCTGCAACCGACACATTTCGAAAAATAAGATTATTTTTACCAAAAGGAGTCGAACAGGGCTGGCGATACAGGCACTGGCAGTTACATAAATCGGTGCTAAAAATAAACTACAGAGGCGCGGGGTGGGTAGCGGCTGGGGCAAGGGCCGGGCCCGACAGCGCTGCCCGCCGAGGCCCGCCGGGGCTGGGCTGCAGCCCCGCAGTGCCG